GTGGTGGCATCAGCAATGAATCACCTGGGAGCTTGCTAGAAATGCAGGATCTCGGGCCCCATGGCAGACCCAAGTCGAAATGGCATTTCAAAGGTCCCTGTGCACAGTATAGTTTGAGAAGCACTGTTCTAGATGACCCTCGTGGTCACTCCCAACTCTAACTGATTTGGCATGAAGATAGCTCTGAGTCTCTAGAAAATCCTTTTTGTGATAGATCTATTTGAAAAGTAAAACTTTAGTCAAGGAACACAAGGGCTTTTAATGAACTGATGGAGGCAGATGCTGAGCCAGGACTAGAGGAGGCTAGTGGGCAGGGAAGAGATGAGAGTGACCTGGAGGTGGGAAGGGAAGCCAATCCCTACACCAACCTGGCTTTGTTTTTGAATGGAATGAGAAAGCAGTGAACTCTGTCTTGAACAGATACAGTAGTTGGAGCTTATGATTTAATTGGAGAGATAAGACATACCTGTATAAAGATGACTGTCGCTTGTTAATTCAACACGTGTTTATGGGATACCAACTCTGTGCCACAGTGGGCGACACACTTAGGATAAAGCAGTGAACAGCTAGAAACTCTCCCCGACTTCACAGAGCTTCAAGTCCAGTGCGGGAGAGAGACAAAATAAATGGTCCCACAAATCGCCAGGACTAGGGTGAGGTGACTGAGGCACCTGCCTTGGGTGCACAGTTTAAAGGGGGCTCCAAAAATTCAGTCATCAAGATAAATATTTAATGGAATATTTAAAAAAAATCAAAATTAATGCAAAAATCTATGATGAATAAAATATCAAAATTTTATATAAAGACAGGATTAGTGTTACTGATTTTGTGTTTTGTTCATGGCTCCACATACAATTTTACCGAAAGAATTAAAAAGTATTAGGAGTATGTATAGCAGGGGGAGCTGATATAAGCTTGTGAAGGGTGGGATAATCCTTGTTAAGTTGTCCCCGAAGCAATAACATCTAAAGTGGGACCGGAAGCACGTGAAGAAGCTGGGAGAAGAGGAGCGGGTGTGAGCAACAGGATGGGTGAAGGCCCAGAGGCAGGAGAGAGCTTTGCGTTTTTGAAGGAACAGAAAGATGGCCCATGTGTCCAGACTCACGGTTCTCAAACTTAGTGCATATTAGAATTATCTGGAAAGCTTTTAAGTCTCAATACCCAGGCCTTGCCCCAGACCAAGTAAATCAAGACCTTTGGGGGTGGGGCTGAGACCCAGGTGGTTTTGAAAGCTTCTGAGGCAGTTCTAATGTGCGGGCCGGGTGGGCACCTGGTGGACGATGAACGATGTAGTGAATGAGGGAGATGTAGTGGGAGACTTGACGAGAGGCCTTGGAGGCCGTTGTAATTATTTTGGACTTTTTCCAAAGAGCATTGGGAAGCCATATGAAGGGCTTTAAGCAGGAAAATAATTTGATCTGACTTTTTTCTTTTTTTTTTTTTAATGATCACTCTGGCTGCTGTGATGAGAGTGAATTGAAAGAGAAGAGTGGGTGCAGCGGGAGGAGCTGGAAAGTTGTTGCAAACATCCGAGTAAGAGAGAGTGGTGGCTGGGGACAGGGTGATGACAGCAGGGGTGGAGACATGTAGAAATATTTAAGAAATATGGGTAGAATTCATAGGATTTGGTGATTGTTTGACTGTGAGGGGCCAAAGGAGAAAAAACACTATGGGCGATCCCCAGTGTCTGGCATCAGCAATTGGGGGGTGGTGGTGACTTTTTTGTGAGCTACAGAACAGGGAGCATGGCAGTGGGGAGCAGGTAGGGGGTGCAGGGAGGACATGGTGGGTTCAGTTTTGAACACTCTGAGCTTGTGAGGCAGCAAAGGGGGAACGGTTGAGTGGAAAATGGGATATATGGGAGTGCAGCGCAGGGGAGAACCCACACGGGAGCTATAATGTGGGACTGGCTGGCCTATGCAGGTCATACAGAAAGTCATAGGAGGGAGTGAGATTGCCTAAAGAGAGAGAACTGAGTCAGCAGAGAAGGAGGCCTAGACTCTGTGGAGTGCCAAGGTTGAGCAGAGGGCAAGGAGCAGAGAGGAGACTGAGAGGTAGGAGGAAAATCAGCAGGGCACGAATTACTGAGAGGCAGAGAGCGTCTTTATGTTACAGCTAGCATTCTGAGGAGAGAAAGATCCCCATGGGCTGGGCTGAGCTAGGAGATAACTGTGAAAATAAGTGGGCCTGGATAGATAAATAAGACAGAGTTAGGCAGGGTGGGAGGGGGAAATTCTGGAGGAGAGAGGAAGAGGAAGGAGGTATAAGAAAAGGCAGAGATGGGAAGGAATGAGGTGTTTGGGGGGCCATTCATCATGTACAGATCATTGGGATTTGAGAAGTGTAGATAAGGTTAGCAGGTAGATGGTGACTTTTGGGATTGACTTCTTCAGTCTTTCTCTTGGTTGTCCTTTACTTCCCATCCCTCTGACTTCCCTGTAATCCAGGCTCGGTGGGAGAGCAAGCATTGCACTGGGCAGCTTGGCTTCTTGCTTTGCCATCCAGAGATGTGTAACTGCAATCAGAGCTTTCACAATATGTGCAGCAACGTCATCCAGGTGAACGCCCAGGACAGTCAGCTTTGCTGTGGAGGAGCGGGCGTTCATTTCAGAGTTGAATGGAGTACTCGTTTCCTTAGCTCCAACTCCACGCACCTCCAAGAGCCCAGCTGCAGTGTAATCGACGCTCCATTTCTTTCCTGGTGCTCTCTTATACGTAAAAGCGCACACAGACTTTTGCCTGAAAGGCAAGATGCCAGTGTTCTCTTTCCGCAGTGGGCTCATAAATACAGATTCTTTGGAGAGAGGTGCGTATAATCAGCATACGAGCCAGCGCTTTGCATGTGCAATGAACAGATGTGGCTGCATTACTCAGCTTCCCTATTTGACTTCCCTACGAAGATGTACTTCAGAAAATGTGATGTCAATGAACACATCTTCCCAAGCGAACATAATCCATGCCAAGAGGAGCTCCAAATGTTCCAGTTAACCATTTACCATGTCGGGGTTGCTTGTGGAGTTCTCTGCCCAAAATGTTATGACATACTGTGTCACTTCAAGTTTTCCTACTAAAGATGAAATAATTTCTAATTATATTTTGTGTGAAACTATATTAATATTGAAACACATTACACTATAGTAGAAAAATGTTGGTTTTAACTCTGCCCTTTATTTTCTTGTTTTTGTTGTATTGCAAGATGTGACATTCATACCAAAAGTATGAATGCATAAAATATATATGTACGAAGAATGGTTATAAAAATGAACACCTGTGCAACCAACACCTGAGTGAGAAGTACAGTCTTGCTGGCACCTGGAACGCTAGAAGTATGCACTTCCTCCTTCCTAGAGTTACCACAGTGTCACTGTTGTGCTAGTACTTTTATTGCTTTTATTTAGAATTTTACCACCTATTTATCCATCCCTGACAGCATAGTTTAGTTTTGCTTGTATCACACTATATATATTTTTTGCCTCAAATTTTGCCCCCTAGACGCCTTGCCACCTCACTCTCTAGTCAGCCCTGTTCTTCTTGTGTGTGTTGCTTTGGTTCATCTTTTTGGCTGTGGTTTTACAACCATGAGTAGGAATACACCACAGTTCATTTATGCATTGTCCTGGTGGCCATTTGGGCTGTTTCTGGGTGTAATGATTTGAAGGCTGATAGGAGTATTCTTTTACATGTCTCCTGGTATACATGTGCATAGACTCCATAGGGTATATAGCAAAGAGTGTTTTCATGTTGTTTTTTAAATGTGATATTTTAAATTCCTTCTGGATAGTTAATGATAAAACATGCCAATCCAACACAAAGATGATTTAATGTAAATCTTAGTATTTTAGACATGATGGGACATGTTCATTTTAATATCTGTCATTTCTAGACACACACTGAAAGTGTGGTCAGATACATTTGCAGGCAAGATTAGCATTCAGAACAGAATGGAATGTTGACCCAGCTGTGCTTCCTCCCCGCGCCCGCCCCAAACCCCCTTATCCTTTAGTTTCATGAGTCTTTCCAAGGGAAATAAAAGTGAATCGTGCAAGATAATCTTAAATTGATTTAGTCAGAGGCAGACCGCTCTTGAGGATTTTTGTTTTCACCGGCTCTGGTTTGCCCTTCTCTGGTGAAGAGCATGTGAATTACGGGCTGTATATATAGAGCTGAACCTATGTGAATGTCAGGTTAGGTTATTAAATGTGTACAGCGTGCTCCTCCTCTCTGAATTACTTGAAACATACCCAAGTGATAACATATCTAGTATTTCCTTCACATGCTTTGTGCTAGAATTTGCTGGCCAAAACATCGTTATTTCGTTTGTTGGACAGTTTAAGATTTAATATCTAACTCCTCAAGATATTCTAAGTTTTCCATTAGCTTTTGTTGCAAGCATTAGTAAAAGAGGAAAACTGTAAATAGTAATTTAATTATTAAAATGACCAATTGTCCAGCTTCCATTGTTATCATTAGTAGTTTTAGAAGAATTCCATTTCTATTTGCTTGGTTCACTGAAATAATTGTATGATTTGTATAATAGCAACTATTAGTTTAAGTAGAATTTTTCTTCTTTTAGTAGTTGTTGTTCTTAAAGGGTGTTACTTTGGAACACACAACTATGATTAATTGGAATTTCACTTTATTGAAGTGCCAGTTATGTAATAAAGAAGTACCTTTCCAGCATGGTTCAAAAAAGTGATCAGAATGAACTAGCAAAGAAATATGGGAAATTCGACTTAACTGTAAAAGAATTTTAAATTGGAACAACGGATCTAAAATGGCTCTTACATTTGTACTTATTTGCATATATTACCATTTACTCAGACATAAAATTGGGAAATTTTTGGCTAAACTAATATTCGAATATAGTTACATAATATAGTTTTTAAAAGCTTAGTTTATAATAGGTGAAATGTAATCCCCCTTTAAATCTAAACTTCATGGATTTAAACTTTATGCAAGATTCTTTATATAACTTTGGTTTCCACGTAAGACAGCCATTCCAGATAAGGAATAAGATCATTTATTCTTTGCGTTGGGTCTTCATTAAAGCTCATCGGATCTTTCGCTTCCGGTTTTCAGAGTTTACTTCACATCTCACAAAGGTTTTCTCCTGGGTTGGGTGAAGCTGTAGATTATCCATGTTTTCTGGGCAAAATGTCATTCTGAATAGAAAACATAAAGCAAACACAGCATTAAGTTTTAGATGGAGTTTATTGAAGTGTTTCAGCCTTTGTCAAATACTCAATTGATGTAATGCATGCTATTTTTTTTTTAATTAAATTCTTATGTTTGCAAATATTTTCATAACTTCAGAGTAAAACAAAACCTAAGTCAGCGAAAGCAATTAGTGGAAGGCTTCCTGAAGCTTTGCTCTGGGTGATTTCAGTTCTGTAAAAACCTTAAGTCCTAGGGGCAGTCCTCTTTTGTTCTCCCTTAAAACAGCTCATCAAAGGTTTAAGGGTAACTATTGTTCCTTTCACTGTGTCGCCCTGACTCCAGGGCCAACACTCCCAGTTCCTTCAACTCTTCCTCATGGGCAGGCTTCACTCCCTAGCCTTCCTTCTTTGGACATGTTCCAATATGTCAATGCTGTTCTTAAAGGTCCCTGGGCATTAGGCCACGTCACTAGCCCTTGCGTGGCTCAGTCCTGTAAGCCCTGCCCCTTCCTCTTGTTGGTGCAGACGCTGTCCAGCCAAAGAGGACATTGCAATTGCTTTGGGTCTCTTTTGGAAACCAACTTTGAGACTGTTTTGACCATTAGCTTGGCCTGAGACGCTATTTTGTGTTACTAACTTCAATTGCATCTATTAGAAAAAATTAGCAGTAGTCAGAATTCTAGTTTATGTTTTCTTTGAATGGCATTAAGGTCAATTCTTTACTAAATCAGACTTTTTAAATAAAAACAGTGTATAAGCCAGACAGAGAAAGACAAATACCGCATGGTATCACTTATACGTGGAATCTAAAAAAATCCAAAGAAGATCTAACTCACACAAATAGTAGAAAAGTGGTTGCCAGGGTCTGGAAGTAGAGAGAAGTTGGTAAAAGGGTGCAAATTTTCAGCTATAAGATGAATAAGGTCTGAGGATCTAATATAAAACATGGTTACAATAGTTGATAACACATAGTGTATAATTGAAATTTACTAACAGAGTAGAACTTAAATGTTCTCACACACACAAAAAAAGATAAATATGTGAGGTGATGGATGTGTTAATTAACTAGATGGGGAGAATCCTTTCACAATGTGTACGTATATCAAATCACAATGATGTACACTTTAAATATCTTACATTTTATTTGTCAATTATACTCCCAATTAAAGCTGAAATTAAAAGCACTGTGAGTAATTTATGAATGCATTCTTGAAAAATTCAAATAGTAAAGAAATAAATGAAGTCAAATATGTAAGATCCTCTTCACCGTCACCCTTCACCAGCATCACTCCCCTCCCTGCTTTCACGGTTTGGTTTATGCCTCTCCAGACCTATTTCTATGCATCTACATATGTATGTTCGTATGCAAACATAAAGATGTTTTAATAAAAGTGGGATTATACTGTACGTATTTTTCTGAAATTTTTCCTTTTCATCAAATAATGTACTTGGAGACCTGTTCATATCAGGACATATAAATCTATTTCATTCTTTTTCACTTGCTGCATGACATTCCATTGTATGGATGTACCATAATGCATTTAGCCATTTTCCTATTGATGGACATTGAGATTTCCCCAATGGTTTACTATTGACAAATAGTATTGCAACAAAGACTTCTGTACATATATATCCTTTGTGGATATTTTGAGTATTTCTCCTGGATAGACACCTAGAAGTAAAATGCTGGGCCAAAGTATCCCTGGTGCCCACGACAGTGCCTGGCATAAGGTGAGTGCTCACTCGGTATTAGCTGTTGCATGAAATTCCCCTGCAGAAGCTCTGTAATTCACACTCCCACGAATAGTGTATGAGAATGCCCAATTCTGTGTGTTTTCTGTCTTTTAATTCCTGCCAAACTAATGAGTGACCAGTGATAATTTCATTGATTTTTGTTTTGCATTTATATCATTACTGTGGAAATTGAATGTCTTCTCATTATGGTTAGCCAATCTCTTTTCCTGCTATAGGGCCAATATGTCCTGCTATAGGGCCAATATTTTCTATTCTTTCTCTTCATTCTACCACAGACCCCCCCATCCCCGACTTTGTGCCTTTGGGAGAGAAAATCACCTCTCATTGAATTCCTCCCATGGAGGCACAAAGCAAGTTATTTAACTATTTTTTTTTTTCCTTGTAGTTAGTTAGCAGAGAGATTAAGAGCAGCAGGTTTAGGGTTCGTATCCTGGCTCTGGGATTTTGGTTTATAGAAGGTACTCAAAAATAGGAATTTCTTATTAGTCTCATGAGATACATATTATAATTCCCATTCGTTACTGGAGAACTGAGTCTCAGAGAGGTGCAGTTATTCTCTGAGGCTACATAGGTGGTAAGCAGCAAAGTCAAAATTTGAGTTTAGGACCGGATGATGCAGAGGTCATTGGTTTTTGCCTACATATTGCTTTGCTCACTGCCCGGCTCTCTGGGAATGCCTCTTGGCCTCACAAAGCCCGTTGCAGCACAGACCCAACAGCACCAACCTGAGCTGATGTCTTTCTTCTTAGGCTTCCTAGACTATACAATACTAGACTCTCACTGTAAGGTGGTCCATGGACCAACAGCATCAGCATCACCTGGGAGCTTGTTGGAAATGCAGAATCTGAGGCCCTGCCCCAACCTACTGAAGCAGAACCTGCAGTTTAACCTGATTCCCAGATGATTCCTGTGCACATTAAGGTTTGAGAAGCCCTGGATGGAGCATATCACTAGTAAAATTAATGCATCTTATTTTCCTAATTAGGTCCTGGACTTTCTAAGAGCCACAACTCAGGTTTTCTTGGTATGTCCCAGTGGTGCCTGGTACTGTGGAGACACAGAGAAGGCACTGGACACTTACAACTGAAAACTCTATAGGTCCCCGAGCCCCTCCCCTCTTTTCAGCATGAACCTCCTATAACCCTGAGGAAGGGTTTGATGCTCATATATATTAAGGTCCAGCACTGCAACTCTGCTGGATTAGATTAAGGAAAGTCAGATTAATGGGGCCAAGACTAATGAGGGAGGGAGCTGTTGGAAACAGCACACGGGCAACAAATGGGCAATGAATCAGACAAACCCGAGTCAGATCTGGGCCCGGACAATCATTAGCAACGTCCCCAAGCTGTGTAACTTTTGTGAGCCTCAGGTTCCTAATCTGTACAGTCAATACTCCCCATTTCAGAGGGCTGCTGGGAAGATGACATGAGATTAATGCTCCAGAGTTCCTAGTTCAGTGCCCAGTGCAGTAAGATCTCTGTAAGCCCCATTCCCTTCCCTCTCCTCTTGGCTTCTTCAAAACCACGTGGGTAAGCACCAGTGGAGAAGGTAGCGTTGCATTTTATACACCCTTTCAGGTCAAGTCACATAGAATAGTCATGGTGAACAGCCACTAAAACAGAGGAGTTACTCTCTGGCTGAGAGAATGCAGGGAGGCATGGTGCTCAGAAGTAGAGCTGCTCTGAAGGGCCAAAAATTCACGCAAGAATAGCTAAGTGTGTACGAGGAGAGAAGCAGTTTAATTTCTCAAATTGATCATGTGGAGAAATCTGTTGGCAGACTGCAGAGTCTACTCTTAGTAATTGCCAGGGTTTTGTATCCCAGGGAGATAAAATCTCAGAGTGCGGTTGTATAAGGGACTCAGAGGGCATAAATCTGCCATGGGCCTGCTCCTGGCAGTGAAACCCTAGAGGTTGGGGAGGAGTGTAGTTCAGTGGTGAGAGGCCTGCTGTTTTCCATCTCTACTGGGGACAAGCCACAGAGAGAAATGGGCTTCCCAAAAAAGGAAGGTGGGAGAGGAGAGACAAGTGTCCTGAATGCAGGGGGAGGAGATGGGAAAGGGTCCAGGCAAGGACAGAATTCTTCTTTCATGGAGAACTGCAGAACCATAGAAAAGCACAGTCACCACAGCAAAACGTGTGGGGCATCCTTTTGCTCTGCTGAGAAGACTGAAGGGGCAGCTGGACCATCCTTTCTTTCCTTTACTCCCTACCCCTCCCCAACCCCTTGTTGTCCCTGGGGACTTTGGGGCCAAGGGAGATGTTAAATCACACAGGGCAGCACTTCTTAAGGGTAATCCATTGGTCCACATCAGGATTTCTTAAGGCTCTTATTAACAAATGTGTATCCTGGGTCCCTTCACAGACCACAGTGAATCAGAAGCTCTGTGGGTGGGTCTGGGAATTCTGCGTATTTAATAAGCTTCCCAGTGATTCTTTGGCACGCTAAGGTTGGCAAGGTACCACCACAGAGTGATATTTTGAGCTTGCGATCTGTTAAAAGCTTTTCCCTGGGTAAACAACAACAACAAAATGTCACGTCCAGGTCCTTGCCACTCAAAGTGTGGTCTGTAGACCTGCAGCTCTGACATCACCTGGTGATTCACCTGTGTGCTGAAGTTTGGGAAGCACTGGGTTAGTGAGGTGGTTCTCAAACTCCAGAAGCAGGTAGCTATTAACCACGGGCAGTGAGAAGAGGCTAGATTGGGAATCAGAAGACCTGAGTGCAAATCCTGGTCCTTCAGTGTATGGCTGTGTGAACTTGGATGGTCATTGCACCTTTCCAAGCATCTATATACCATCATTAGGACATAATAATGCCTACTTCATAAGATAAATGCAAGTACTAAGTTGTGAAAGTGCTGGAACATGTAGATGCTTAGTAGATTTTAGGAGGAGGTTGAATCAGCACTCACCTTTGCTGGGTTTCTCCTGCCTTGACTCTGATGCTCTTTGGAACAAGGCCTGAGAAGTGGGGCTCTCTGCCCCATGGGATGATGATTTGGACTGTGTTCCAGAGGTTGGCCCATACCGCACTGTTTTCCCACTTGAACTTGATCATGATCAGCTCACCAATGTCCAAATCCAGAGTGATAAGAAAGGAATAGGTTTTATTACTAGTAATTCCTTCACCCCTTGAAGATACAAAGGAAACCAGACACAGTTTATTTGTAACAGCCAAGTGATGCTAGGCATGTTCAGGATGTGTTAGGATTGCCTGAGCGACTTGGGATGGTGTTTCCTGCTGCATTTCAAACCAGTGTTGGACAGACTATTAATAGAGATAGCAATAGGTGTGCTGGGATAAAAAGAGTTTTCCAGACCAATAATATTGGGGACATCATACTATTTTCTGTGTTAGCATATTAAAAAGGCTCCGAGGGGCTGGCCAGTGGTGTAGTGGTTAAGTTCAGTGCTCTCTGCTTCGGCGGCCCAGGGTTCGCGGGTTTGGATCTCAGGCACAGACCTACACACTGCTCATTAAGCCATGCTCTGGTGGCGACCCACATACAAAATAAAGGAAAATTGGCACAGGTGTTAGCTCAGGGATGATCTCCCTCAGCAAAAAGAGGAGGATTGGCAACAGATGTTAGCTCAGGGCCAATCTTCCTCACCTAAAAAAAAAAAAACGTAAAGGCTCTGAGAGGTCTGCAATAATGAATCTAGTTAACTTTGTTTAGCTCAGGCTTCCTGGTTTCTAGGTTAACAGATCAGGGAAACTGCCCTGGAAGAGAGAGCGGGGCTTTGGCAATAGCCTCTGGGCAGTTCAGCTCTCTGTAGGTTTGATTAACACAGTAGAGCCACACCAGGTCTTCTTTCCCCTCCCCATATGAATAGAAACTTCTATTAAAACAACAACGTATCAGAGTAATAAAAAACTGTATATAAAAAGGATGCACCAATTTGGAGCAAGATTTAAACGCAAATCCTTAGGTATCATAATCTTCAAGACATTAAAGTGTCCCAACAATGACAGAGCAGCTAGCTGCCCTTTCCACTATCTAGAACAATCCCCTGGGGAGAGATTTGGGCCAGTGTTATCTGGAGGTAACACTGGATTTAGAGGGAGACGGATGGATGGAGGATTCCTTCGTGCAGCTCTTCATAGATCTTCCTGCAGAACGCTGTAAAGAATCATTTGGAATGCACCAATCTCACCAGGCTAGGGGCATCCTAAGGATGGATCCTCTGCCTCGAGTGCAGAGAACCAACAAAAACTCGCTGAATGGCTGAATCAGTGTGTGATGATCAGAGATCCAAGCGGGGCGCAATTTTAGGGAAGGTGAGGACTGTCCCAGGAGTGGGTGGAGGGCTAATGTCACTTCCCAGGGAGGGCCCATGCAGAGGGGCGAGATGCTGAGAGAAAGCAGCCAACGGGCCGTTTCTGGCCAGTGGAGCTGAGAAGCCTCTGAGGGAGGCGTGTTGTGAGCAGGTGTGTAACAGGACGAAGGACAGATGGGGAGGGCTGGCAGTGCAGGCTGATTGAGATGGGAAATTTGTGCCAAGTTGAACGATACCAGTTTTATCTCTGGGTTATGGTTTTCAGAACTCACTGGAAAGGCACTCTGGACACCTGCTCTGGCCCTCACCATTCCTCCCTGCTTGGATTTTCCTGCACTGTGGACACGGATGGGGCCACCTCCGGCTTCCCCCTCCACTCAGTCCACATCATGCTGGGCCCTTCACATACACAGGTAGTGCCAACATAAAGCAATCAGCGGGACTGGCTGAGGCACAGGAGGGATGACAAGGCTCTGGGCTCGGGTGGGTGTCCCATCCGGGAGGGTGTCTGGGGCACTCATGATGGGCTGAGAAGAGTAAGCGTGTCTGGCCTGACCCTTGAAAAGTACAGAATCCATCCTGACCCTGTGAGAAAATGAAGCATGTCACCACCATAGATGGGGCTGCACCTCATACTCACAGAGTGACAGGAACTTTCTGCATGTCCTCTTTCGTTCCAAGGAGGGACAGGGTGAAAGCCGGTTCCACTGGTTTCTCAGTTTGGTTGATGAACTGCATCTTGATCTGGTAATGATAGACTGGAGGGGGGTGGGGTGGAAAGGGAGAGAAGGAGAATTTAAGCAGGAATTTTTTATTAAAAATCTCATATTTTTAAAATTAAAAAATGCAGACGGAAGAGTCTGGATGGATAGATATCCCAATTTTTTTTTTCCCTAGGTGGTGGGATTATGAATACTTTTTATTCTCTTCTTTTTCCTTCACTGTATTTCCTAAATGTCTACAGAGGACTCATATTGTATTTGTAATATTATAATAATAATATTATTATTATCCCACAGAAGAAGGCAGAAGAGGAGTAGAGTGTATCTGGCATTCCCACCAGTTTCTGGATGCAATCCTGTTGGACTATTCTGTGTATTTCGTGAGGGTCCCCTTTCATAAATCAGAGGACGTATGCTTTGAGGCACCTGCCAATGGCAAGAGTACATACTGCCGTGTTTTACTTTTGCCTCTGTCTGATGGGATCAGTTTCAGGGTGGGGCAGAGCTCCAGCTAAGAAGGATATACCCTAATGACCACATATCTATATTCTGGGACAGGTCCTGGGAACCAGCTTGTGGGGTTCAACAAGCTCATTTTCCAATGCAAATAAGATAACTCTAGTTCTAGAATTCAGGCCTAAAAGTTTTCCATCTTATCAAATGTCCAGAATGTCCTCCTAATGGGTTGTTTAGAAAAGGGTAATTTATTTTATTCTTCTTCACCTAGATACTGTCTATATTTAATTAAGACAAGCAATTTACTTACTATTAAGTATTGTTAAACATTTTACATTGCATCATTTCCTTTAGTCATCATAATAACCTTATGAGGTAGGTATTGTTATTATCATTCTCATTTTATAAATAAGAAAACTGAGGCTTAGACAGGTGAAGCGACTTGCTCAAGGTCACATAGCAAAGTCTGTGCTCTTAGCCTGGACCTGTTGCTAAGGCTCCTAAGACGGCCTTGGCTTGGCCTGTATTGTTGCACTAATCAGCTGTGGGGCTGTTTTCAAAATCAGTCTACCTCATTCCATGATGGCTGGTGGCTGCTTAGACTTCTTTCCATTGCCGTCTCCATAATCTCTAAGGACCTGTAGTGTTTTAACTCCAAGATTGCATGGAGTTTAGTACCGCGTGTCAATTCCATTTGATTGACAGCACTGCCTAGAGCCCTACCTTGAGATGGGTTCTGAGACCATGTCCAAGCTCTTGGGAAGATTAGTGTCTGCCTTGGGCAAAGGATAGGGGATTTATGGTATGCTTGCTGTGTATCTGCCCTTCCTGTTCTAGATAAGGATTAATCCACCAATCCTGATACAGTGCCTTCCGCATAGTAGGTGCTTAAACATTTGTGGGATGAATGAACTGACTATCTGCTTGGGAGTATCAGGATGTGTATTAACGCTCAGCAAGATGGAAATTACCTCTGAGAATTCAAGACCTGAGTTTCAAGGTTTGTAGGAGGAGAATTCCTACTGGAAAGCACAGATCATGGAACTAGCCACTTGATCATCCATCCCACACACCCAGCATGTGGAAATTCATCATCTTCATGAATTGATTAACTCCCAAATGGTGCCTTTTCATTGGAGGTTGGTAGCTACGCACTAACCTAGCAGGAGCTGTTGCTAATGGTGTGTTGCCCACACCCCAGCTGCAGTGTCCTGGTCTACCTGTATTGCTGGGTTTCTGGATTATTTACACAATCCTACACTTTGGCATAAACCAGTCTTCCTATTTGGGTTTTGTGGTGGATTTGCTTCGATGCCCTGTCCATAACAGCTGCTCAGATCCTCCAGCCTGGAATAAAGTAGTTTGATGCTCTCCAGATTATGAGGCTATGGGTGAGAAATAAGAGACGGGCTGTGGGCCCAAGTCCCAGGAAGGGTCGCTAAAACCCTTGGGTGGCCGTGGTGACAGGGACTCTGGCTTATCATCCCAAAAGCCTCTGGAGAGGTCTTACACTATTCAGGGTCTGTCTAAGGAGCTCTGTAACAAGTGAACAGTGTTATGAGTTGAACTGAGGCAAAAAAGGAAAAGGCCTTCTAAAGACACAGGCCATAGTCATTGGGAAGCGGGGCTAGGATGTGGACAGAATGAGGTGGGAGGACTGGCCTCCGGTTAACCTCCTAACGAGGAGGCAGGGCATCTTCCAGAGTACCCAAGGAACGCTCAGAGCAACCAATTTTAATCCAGTTTAATATGTATTAATTGGAAGTCTACCCAACTGATGCTCAGCCCAGTGTTAAAAGCTGTGGGGAATAAATGAGTAAAAGAGTGTAATTGTCGGTATGCACGATAATAACACGGGCTAATATTTATTTTGTTTACCTGTGCCAGTTGCTTTGCATGTTATCTCATTTGATCCTTACAACAGGTGACACTATTATTATCTCATTTTAAAGAAGAGGAAACTGAAGCACAGAGAGGTTAAGTGACTTTTCCAGGATCACATAGCTAGTAAGTAGCATCGCTGGGACGTAAGCCCAGGCCACCTGGCTCTAAAACTTGAACTTTTAAATGTTTATACCTGTGACCAATAGCTTTATACACCCTACAGAAAAAGCTGAAGTGTGGAAAGAGATTTAAGTTTAAAAATGTCATACTAGAATTATTTAATTAAAAATAAATCAGAAATACTGTAAATATTCACTAATAGAGGAATTACCATGGACTAGTAATGACAACTATGATAGCTACCATTCAGCTCTTTTTTACGTCCTAGACACTGAGCTGATAGTTTCACATAATTGTCTCATTGCTCTTTGCAACAGCTTTGGAAAATGCCTCCTCTCCCCTCTCTCTGCACCGTTTTACAAAGGAAGCAGCTGAAGCCCGGGGAAGTGAAGTAACTCGCCCACTGTCAGGCAGCTAATAGCTGGTGAAGCTGCAATTAGACCTTAGTCTGCTGACGCCCAGTTCACAGTCCCAGCCATGTGATTCACTCTTAAGAAGTCACTAAAGGTATTTTTGGAACGATTTCAATGCTCATGAAAGAAGTAGGAGGAAAAAACCCAAACAACAACCAGGATACAAATTGTATATCTAACATGAGACTCACCCTAACAAAACAGGATGCATGGAAGGAGGGGGATTCACAAAAAATACGAGCAGTGCTCGTCTCTGGAGAGGGGAGAGGGGTAATTTTTATTCTCTTCTTTATGCTTTTCTGAAAGTTCCACATTTTCTACAATAAGCATGTATTCTAATTAGAATCTTATTGGAAAAAGAAAAAGCTTTGAAAAGTATTAAGAAAGAAAACAAGAGAACCAGAATTCCCTCTTGTTGGGATCCTACTACACATCGGGCTGCATACTAAGTGTTTTACATACATTATTTTGGTCCTCTTAACAGGACTAGAGGAGGATAACATGCTGAGTAGACTCCATTTGCTACACCTAGCCCTGCTTTCCACATCCACTCCCTGCCCAGCTCTGAACCCAGGATATGGCCCCACAGCCTGTATCTCCTGGGCTCCCTTGCCAGACAGTATCCAGTTGGGACTGACCCCTGGGGGGGCATCAGCAGGAGATCAGGACAGAGCAGAGAGAGGTCAGGGTGTTTTCCTCTTCTCCTTCCTGCTTTGGAGCCTGACCTGCAGTAACCACCCCCATGACTAGCTGCTGTCAGTGGCCCCTCCTCCACAGCTCCAGTTCTCCTGGCCCATTCCCTCCGCTCCAGGCCTGTTGTTAGATTCAGGGTGTGTTGACACCCCATGATGGTTTCCTGAATACTGCCCACCTCTGTAAGGAGTGCTGCCTGCTCCCTTCAGCTGACCTAGGCGAGTGGAATCCTGTTTTCAGCTGACATCTACACAGATACGGTGTAATTATTCTGGTGAATTACAGACAAGGAAGCAGAGATTTGGACATAAGCCCAGAGTCACTGGGATAGTTAGAAGTGGAGCAAAATTTGAACTCAGGTGTCTGTCTGATTCCAAAGGACTCTTCCCTCTGTCTCTTGGGGTTCTGATTCTAGCAAGCTGAACCTGCCCTTTGAAAGCAAACAGCAACGCTCAGCCCTTGAAGAAAAGCCACAGTTAAAACTTGCCTTGAATGAAGCCACCAAGACAAAGTGCCCGCCGGCTCCCCCACTGACATCCATCCTGGGCTATCGCTTCCTCGCCTCTGTGCCTGAACGTTGAGCCCCTGAGCCGGGATGAATGTTTCATGTCCCTGCCCTGGAGATGGGTTTTTGTCTTCCTTTGTTCTTAAATTGTGGGTAGGAGGAGATCGATTTGTGCGTCTTGGATGTCGTGGTTCCAGGATTCTGGGGGAAGTTGCTTGTGTAAAACCCGGGGTCGGCTGAGATGATTGCAAAGGTCCCCTTCGTTCTCACATCTTAGGAATGAGAATTACCTGTCCCCCTCGCAGTGTCTCCCTGGGGTGGGACCTGTGCACGAGGTCTGAACCTCTAAAGGTGTGTAAGCCATGAGGGGCCTGAGTGAGCTCACAAGAGGTGTGTGGACTGTGGAGGAGGCCCAGAGCCAAGGGGACGAGGGCACCCTGTGTCTGCAGGGGCACAGCTGCAGAGCTCAGAGCACGTTAATAGCTCAGGGGATCCCGTATTACCTGCACCAGGAAAGTCACTTTTTTGGAGAAATCTTGAAATAAAATCAGTATTTTTAAATATGAGAACTAATTATTCTTATTTTGGATTTTTGTGTTTTTCCTGAAAAAAAAAAAGAAGACAATTTGCCTATCATTCCCCACCCCTCCCCACCTCCCCAGGACAACAATGCCGTTATAAAGATTAAGGAAAAAAGCATGAGTAATTTTGCCCGCTTTATCTTATGACGTGTTTAATAAGGATTTTTAAAAATGATTTAGGGAAAATGCTTTTGATCTGTGCCTGTGAAGAAGCCAGCACAACACATTCCTCAGTTCAGGCAGGAGACATTATTTCAGGTCTTAAAGATAAAATGCATGAAATAGTGCATTCACCCTGAATGAGAGTATGCCAACTCCACCCAGAGCAGAGAGGTGCAGCCTCTGGAGAGTCTCACCAGACAGTCCTCCGGGGGTTCAGACACC